CGCCTTGTTTAACTACTAGTTTTATTAGATCAAGGATCGACCTTTAGTTTTATTTCCGAGTCTCTGTGTCAGACTGCGAACGAAATGACAATAGGTTGATCTCCGAATCCGTTGTTTCGGAGAGAAATATACCGGTCTTGCGAAATCGAGGATTTTCTTCAATTTAACTCCGCACGCGAGAAATAAGCCAACGTTTCCGTTGACCGCGTATGTCTTCCAGAGAATCACGTCATATGCAGCCTCGCAAATTCGGTCCGTCACGTCATGGCCACATCTTCGCGATTTGTAACTGGCGGATCCAAATCCGTCGAGCCAGCATCCGATTCATTTATTGATCGGAGCCGATCTTTATGAATCGTTCCTGCTAAGTGATTTGCGTCAGGGTCCTTGGAGCTCACTTACTGCACAAAAAACCGCTCTCGGTTAGATTTTGTTCGGTCCCACGAACACTCAGCCTGACGTTGATATTGCTCCGGTGCTGAATGCACTACGGACGCATTGCTACAGAAATTTTGGGAAGATGTGGAGATTCCTCAACTGCTCTCTCTTAGCGGAGAAGAGGAGCTATGTGAGAAACATTTCGTTTCTACTCACACGCGTTCATCGCAAGGCAAATATGTTGTTTGCTTGCTCTTCAAAACAGGTCACCCAATAAATCTTGGAGAATCGTTGCCGATAGCTATGTCGTTATATCTTCGTATGGAAAGCAGGTTACAGTCGTAACCTAGCTTCAAGAACTCAAAAATTCTGTGTTGTTAAGTCTATCAATGTTCAAAATATTTTCAGGTTTTTCATAAGTAAGCTCCATGAGTTTCCATAAATAAATATCTCTAAATTCTCCAAAAAATAATAAAAGAAATAAAAAATAAAAAAAGACAAAAAATTAAAAAAGATTCACAGATGTCGACTTCCTCGTGGTAAAAGTCGGGCAACAGCGATGTAATTATCGACGGCTAACAAACATCACAATAATATTATTGAACTTACGGGTCAGAGTCAGTTTTCAAAAATTTTGTTGAAAATTATTCCATATCTCTCGATTGAGGATGAGTAGCCCTCAATAATCTTCTGGTATTGAATTTTAGCCATATTTCACGAAATTTCAGCGATATGTACCGCCATCTTGGATCCGCCATATTAAAATTTGCAAATCTGATCTCGGGTTTGTAATCAGCGACCCAAAAAACATGTAAAAATATCATTCGATTGATATCGAAACATTTTTAGTGCAACCATTCCCTTTTCTCGTGTAGAAAAAAATCGGTCGAAATTTTTAGCTTTAGAGCGCCAATTTGGTCCGCGCCATGTTGAATTTTGAAAAACTCTGTTACTTATCTTGAAGTTTGGGGCCCATGGACGCAAGAAATTTACTCCCTAAGGTTGAACGCAGTTTCAATGTGATATCGTTGATTGAAAAGAATCTGTCAGTGGAAATTTACGTTTTTTTTTTCGAAACAATCGTTTATAACAATTTTGGATTATTGATTTTTTGAAAAAAATGACGTCGGATTCTGCAAGAGCATGACATTCTACGTAAGAAAAACTTTGACTTGAATTTTTTGAAGAACTAGAACATGATGAATTCTTTGAGCGAAAAGTCTCCAAAAATTGTCCGTTTGGACGTTAACGGGTTAAGACAGTTGTTATTATATTCGGTCGGTTAATCGCGCTTTCTCGTCTGTACGTTCATAGGGGAAACCGGGGATAGGAGTAACAATTTATATTCAATTAGCTTAATATCTCATTTAGTTGACCTGATTTTTTACAATTATGTAGTATATGATAGATAATATGGTAGATAAGTATCTTCACATGTATAAGATAAATAGTTATATTATGTAACGATTATTTTAAAAAAGTTACAGTGACATTTTCATGACTGCGCGTTATGTAACTTTTTATTCTATGTCTGGGCCAGAAGTAACAGTCTCGGGGCAATATTTAATACACAGTTTTAAATTATTAAGGATAGTTTTAAATTATCTCTTTTATTATTTTGACCTTATAAACTATACAAACAAAAAAGTAGCATCATTCATAATTTTTTTAACATTAATAAAACTTTTTTTTTGTTATAAACGAAAGCGAAAACTTTAAACGAAACTTTCTATCTTTAATTCTAAATTGCAAGATCTTTTTCAAGGTCATGTTTTGTAACAAAATGTAAAAATTAACTAAAACAAAAACAGTAGTTCTTCTTTTCTTTGATTATTTACTGTCATTATTGTTTTCTTAATTGTTCTCCTTTAAAATTTGTCTTTTAGCTTTATTAGAATTCTTTCTTTTTCCTTCTTTTTTTTGTTTTTCAGGTTTTCTTTGTCTTGAGAATTTTCTTTGTCTCTCTTGCTAACCTTGTTTGCTCTGCTACAATTGTAGTTCATCAGCTAAAGCTTCTTTTTCTGGAATGCCAGTTAACACGGCTGATTTTCTCACTCTACATTTTGATGTTTTCTCTTTTCTGAGTGATGCTTTTAGATATAATCTCACTAACTCACGCGAAAATTAATATTTTACTTACTAGGATAAGTTGTAACAGTGTTACAATTTTCTCCAGAAGAACGTTATTTCTTGCCCCAAAAATGATTTTTCAGATTCACATATATAAGTTCTAAATTAATATCGCAAACACACAAACGAAGCCATATATTCTCTTTGGGGTCATTGACAAACTACGAGGGTAGTCCTAGAAGTACCTGACCTGACGTATAGATAGCGGTTGTTGTTTGAAAAGAATGATTATGGTAGAAAGTACTAACCTTATAAAGCTTAAGTTTGAAGTTTGACGACGCTACGTTGTTTAGTATTTGTTTGGCAGCCATCAATAGTGAACACTCTCAGTGAATTTGTAAACATGGAAAAAATTGGTCATCGTTATGTGATACAATACTTTCATTTGAAAGGTCTCAGTTCAACCAATATCAAAGCGTAGCTAGATTCTATTCTGGGGGAGTCTGCTCCTTGGTTTACAACAGTAAAATATTGGGTGGCAGAGTTTAAACGAGGCCGTACGAGCTGCCAAGACGAACATCGCAGTGGTCGACCAAATGAGGTGACCACGCCAGAAATGGTGAAGAAAATCCACAAAATGGCATTGGATGACCGTCGACTGAAAGTACGCGAGTTAACAGACATGGTAAGCATTTCAAAAAGTGCTGTACATCGCATATTGACTGAAAATTTGGACATGAGAAAGCTGTGCGCAAGATGGGTGCCGCGATTGGAACAAAAACAGCATCGTGAGGATGTTTCAATCGAGTGTTTGGCGAAGTTTCGCAGCAATAAAGCCGAGTTTTTGCGTCGATTCATAATCGTGGATGAAACATGGGTCCATCACTTCACACCTGAGATGAAGGAACAGTCAAAATAATGGACCAAGGTGGCTTGATGGCTATTTTGAGGAGCTCGATTCGTACTATCACTATCACTTTAAACAGGATATCGAAGCTATTGAACATCGTTGGGAAAAGTGTATTGAGCTAAAAGGAGACTATATAGAGAAATAAAGATATTTTTTCCTAAATTTTTTATGTTTTCTTTGTTAGGTCAGGTACTTCTGGGACTACCCTCATATATTGATCAAATGTAAGTAAAACAATTCAGTTTTCCCCATTAATAAAAGAAATATACATTGAAAATCTATACATACGTAGCTGTTTTGGTATGACCTCTTACAACGGCGTGGCCGAGACAATTACTAAGAGGAAACTAATATGTTGTAATGAGACGAAAGTTTTTTGTCTTTGAAGTATTATTATATTTCTGTTCCTTTATGAAATAGAAGCATTGTTACAACCTATCCCTGGTATAAATCGGTTTCCCCTACAATTGTTTCGAATTGGCGATACCGACTTTTCTGATCCTGATATTGGCTCGAGTTGCAAGCAACTTTCGCTTTTCTTTAATGTTTTTGGCTCTTATTTCTCTTTCTACAAATGCTGAAAGAGAGGAATGTTCCGGGGCAAAAGGGAACATCTCAACTTTGTGGCAAGTTACTCATTCGATTCAATATACGATGCTCTCTGAATGTTTTCGAGTGAGATTCCATTCGGAAAATGGAACGACAACTGAATCACTCGAAGCCATCGTGATTTATCGTTCATGTGAAACGAATAATTATCTACTCTGAATCATCGAATTTTCATTCGAGATTAATAGTGAATGACGCCAAGAATAACGTATATAAATTCCAAATGAGATAAAATTCCATTAATAAAGATTAGTTGCAATTGTCGCTTCGAGTAAATTTTCGTTCGTTTCAAGTGAGATTTTATCGACGAAAGATTTAGAGAGCGCAATGTGACGTATTGCGAAAATAATAATATTTGCAACTCACCTGCATCGCATTTTTACGTTGTTGTTTCCTCGAGAGCTTACATGAAACTACATCGAACATACTCGCGGCGGGCACAATGCAAGTAACACTCCTCGTCGCTGCTACTTTGAGTCTATAGAATCGGGAAAAGCGGCCGGTATCGCGCAGAGCCGACGATAATTGCGCTGAAAATTGATATGAAATCGTACATACGTACGAATCGCAGTTGTATGAGCGTGTTACTCGACCCACCTGCGCTCGCAATTTCATGCACCGCACGATGTAGCGTCGTTCTACGCAATTAATTGTCAACGTCGACGCCGATTTGTCATCATTATACCCGAGAATCGCCGCTGAACGCTTCTGTGAATAATCGCGAAGGCAAAAAATTTCAAGCGCGCTTTGTAGACCAACTATCGAGAAAATATCAAGCAATCGCGACTCCAATCGTAATTTCGGGACCATAATTTCGCTATCGTAATGTATTCCATCGACCGATACTACGTGGCCACGTAGTCAACTCCGAGCTGAACTTTTATCATCCCGAGCAAACTCGTATCTCTTTTCGCGAGAGATTATTCGCTTGATCGTGTCGCAAATCTTATTTCTTTCTTTTTTCTTTCTCAAGAAAGAAGTCGCACGCTTGCCCACGGGAAATGAATAGCGACAACAAACGTACGTTTCCAAATGCAGATCCAGGGCAGTTTCTACATGTATTTCTCTATTTGTAGTATACAAATTCGTTCGATATTTGTGCATCATCCAAAGTCTTCCACACATGACACTTCACAACAGAGTACGCAGCACCGACAGATACGCCAGCGAGGTTTTGATAATCTGCATCCAATCAGAAGTAAAATTCTATTAATGAGCATCCAACTATGTCGATTGTGTGAAACGGAAAACGAAATCTTTCTGGAGGAATATTCAGTTTAGGACCTTGTCCCCAAATCGCGTTAAATCCTCCTTTTTGAACAAGGTTTCTGGAGGTTTTGGAGGCACGGATAGTAGAAATCACGAGGGAGAATAAATTTCGCTGCCGGAATAGAATAAAGCGTCACTGAACTTACATCCGTAAAACCGTTCAAGGAGAATACGTAAAATTTTCCGGCTGTCAGATATAGCATGATCTGGCTGCGAATCATACATATTAGGAGACTTCTCTTGCAGTTAAGTGGCATCTCGTACCAGTTGCATTGATAGCACGCATCCAGCACGTTTATGCACTAAACACGAGCGGCCGATTAATAATGTATTTCACATGGGCGTAAACCATAAAGTAATGAACAAAAACTTCGTTATCTTTATCAATGAATAGCGATTCAATTGAGACATATGATGACCTGTTGAGTCAGTTGCTCGCCGATCAAGCAATATCCATAGAGCATAACAAGCGCGATTATAGCGAAGAATATGAAAGTACAGCAGGTCGCCAGTTCCGAGACCTCCAGATTCTGCAAAATATATTCTTGAACATATTCTTGAAATTTCTTCTAGCAAAATTCCACTCGAGAAGTAAAGAAATAGCTGAGTCGCTCGAAATTAAATGACTTATTGCTCAACTTCGTGTAGCAAAAATTCGCTGTTCTGAACTACCGAATGAATTTTTCTATTAAAATTTTTGAAAAGTCCAAGTCAAAGCCAAGTCAAATTAGATCCTTATCTCTTGCAATTCTCGCGATTCTGATTATAGAAGAACTCGATGACGTACTATTAGGACATAATACATCGAAATAGCCAATATAATGCTATTGCCGAAGAGTTCATCCATAAGAACTATGTTAAAAGTGTTGTCCACAGACTTCGCCATCCTTCACGAACGCGACGATATTCCGTGATAAAAATAAGCAGACCGCAGGTGAAACATGAAAGAAAAAGAAAAGCGTTATTAACGATACTGTTGTGTATATCACGTGAGATTAGCTCACCATATTAGCTTGAGATGCATTTGGACGAAGCTGCGAATTCTGGCCACCAATGCATCTCGCGAGTATGCTTGCACGTTCTTAATACGGTACGACAGAATGGACAATTCGCCGCAGATGTGAAATACTAAAATAACTAACAAGCAGATCGCTGCCATGTGACATATGGAGTTGTAAATCATCGGGAACAGGTAAAGATACATAAGCACATATGTCCGAGTGTTAGTGATGTCGAAGAACATATGGATTTTGTAGGGTAAGACGAAGGATCCTGTGTTGTTATTAAATTCTGCGCAAAAAACGTTGAACAATAAAATATTGTTATTGATTACAATATTGATCAACTGATATTATGAAAACTCCGTAATTAACCGAATGATTTTAATGAGAAATTATTAATATTGAAGTATATTTAAAAAAAGTCAAATAATTGTAGAGAAAAACAAACATCTGGTTAATGTAAAATTAAATTCTATAGAATCTAATTTTGAACTCTAATCTTAACAAAATTGATGTTTGATTTTTTATTTTCAAAAGATTATTTTGCTTTTTATGCATGAAGTGTGCTCACAGAACGATTTGGATTGGCCAAGTATATTGTAAAACTTTGGTAAGTGAGAATCAATGAATCAAAAAGATATCAGTCCTCCTTCCGAGGAATAGAAATGAAAGATACATTTCTCGTCTATATACCTTGATTACTGATCGAGAAATTCATGAGCGGTCTAAAGTATAACAATATCACCGTGATGAACATGCCGATGATTGAGCCATAGAGAAATATCTTGGACATATAATTGTAATTATAGTAGATCCTCTTCTCCTCGGGATCCTCAAATTTCCGCTCCATCATATCCTGCCTCACCACGATGATGATGCGCTTTAGTAAGTCGCTGCAACGGATCACCCATACTATCGTGAAAGTGATGGTGTAAGCCACCGTCTCCACGAGATTCATCACCATCAGCTCGAGATCACCGAGGACTTCGTAAAAATTCGCATATGCCATGACGAGGTACAGCGTAAAATACAAGATGTAAATCGCAAAACGGACATATGTACGCTCGAACGGCCATATCCCCCCGACGGAGAAGATCCGTTCTAAATGGACAAACAAATCTTCATGGCCGACATCAGTCTGCAACATGAAGCTCAGGATGAAAGCGGTATAATTCGTAATAAGATTGGATCGTATCGTAATTTTCTCTTGCTTCGATTTTGCACCAAAGAAAGAATTTCGAATGAATCAAACATCATAATTCCTCTCCCTTAACGATACTTTTATTTTCCAAGACCTTCACACTTACAATATAGTTCTTGCCAGACTTGGTCTCCGCGAATATCGTGGATCTTTTCAAACGATACATTTCCCTTTACAGTAATGGTGAGATTTGGATCTTCTATGTCGAGAAAGAAAGAGAAAAAGAGAGAGAAAAAGTTACTTCTACTTTTGCTTTTGTTTGCTGTTTTTATTATTCTTTAGTTGCTTTATTTCCTTGTGTCCTGATAACTGAAATGATACACACGATGGTACATCCAAGAAAATTTGTGAAGATAATCAAAACCAACATAGCGCGTAATATTACAGCAATATCATAATAATATTACTTTCTCATTGCAGTATTATAACATAATATAATAGAAATATTACTGCATTATAACAGTAATATCACAGTAATATTAAAATATCCGCCAAAATGGATCACAGTAATATTATTTTGATATATTACAATAATATTGTGATAATATATCACAGTGATATTGTAGTAATATGTCACAATAATATTATTATAATACTGTGAAGTTATAGAATACTCTTACAGAAAAAAAACAGTTAATATTTGAGTGTTTTTTTCATAAGAGTTAATTTTATATTAATTAATTTAATATTAAATTTTAAATGTTATCATTGAAATGTTATGTTTGTTAATATTATTTTATAAAAAATAATTGTACAAAGAAAAAACAATTATAAAGTAAAAAAGATATAACTTTATATACAATTTTTATAAAATTTTTATTAATCATCTTTACCTTCTGAAGGTGTAAACAATTCAGTTTTTATGATGTATTCACATCTTTTAATTCGGATTTTTCTGCTTTTATTCTAAAATATTATAATTGCTATATCTCGAAAACTAAGCATTTTAGAAAAAAAATGTTTTAGACAAAAGTTGTATGGTTTTAAAGGGGACGTAAAACAACTATATCATTTTGTTTGTAAGATGGCGCACTTTCGAAATACTCACTGATCGTTACTTTTCTTAAACGGAAACTCCAATTTTTTATTATATCATCTTTTGTTACCAATTAATTTTAACAACTTTTTTCTAAAAAATTTTTTATTTGCCTAATATTTTTGGGGGTATTTAAGGAAAACTTGGTAACTTTTTTAATATTTAACTTACGATATCTCGCTAACTATTTGTTGGAAGAAAAAGTAGGTCTCAAGAATATATTGTTACAATAGCGCTCTGATTTTTGTTAATTTGATGATTTTGAAATTTCCAAAGGTCGATAAATTAACAAAAGATAAGGCATTATTATAATTACATTCTTGAGACCAAATAGAATAAAAAAGTCTAGCATCACTTTTTCTTCCGACAAACAGCGAAATATCGTAAATTAAATATTGAAGAAGTTACCAAGTTTTTCTTAAGTATCTCAAAAAATATTAGGCAGGTAAAAGAATATTTCAGATCAAAGTTGTTAAAATTAATTGATAGGAAAAGATGATATAATAAAAAATTGGAGTTTCCATTTAAGAAAAGTTATAATCAGTGAATATCTCGAAAGCGGCGCCATCTGTAAACAAAATGATATAGTTGTTTTATCCCTTTCGAAATCATACAACCTTTGTCTGAAACATTTTTCAATTTAACGCAGTGTTTCCGAAATATTTGAATGGATCTTTTAAAATGGGACACCCTGTATATCTTTTTTGAAACCATACAACTTTTGTCTGAAACATTTTCCCCTAAAATGTCGTATTTATAAAAAATCGGATAGTATGAGTGGTTTGTGACATCCGTATAAACGTAATATATCAATAATATTGTATTATAATATGTAATATTACTGGTATATTGCAATCTAATCATGATATTTTTGTAATATTACGTGCTATGTGGGAAGATATCTTTGAGGTCGAAATAGCCAAAAATATCCGCGTATAAGTATCGTAGAAAAAGATAGAAAGATTTTTCTTGGCTAATTTTTACATTTTGCATTCGCCATCAATATACTGATCGGTTGACAAATACGAAATATAAAAGATGAAAATAGTGAATTTCAATAAAGAATATTCGCGATTCACGAAAAATAGCTGTATTCTTACTTTCGTAACCGATCGTCGGAGTTGTGCTTTTTCATTCACCGATCACCCGCAACTGCGACTCGATGATGATTTGGATTTAATATTATTAAACTTAAGATTTAGGGACCGAGTGTTTGCGACGCGCTCGTACTTTCCTGATTTCTGTTGTTGGATTGCGCACGATTAAACAGTCCGACAGTCGTAATACGTATAGACATCTGTTATATTCATACAACTGATATTAAGGCATTAAGCCATTATTAAACGTCATTTTTCCTAGCGCATCGATTATCTTACTGTCTCGCGTTTATGGCGAAAAGCAAAAGCGCTTATCGCATTTCGTGGAGAAACTATCGCGAAGCTAATTTTTAACGTTAGTGCAGGTAGTCGACGAACTTGTCCAATGCTTTGTGAAGTCTCAATCATAGTCATGGTCGTCGATGTAGACATGTCGTGGATATTCTGATTGAAACAATGTTGACGTATTATGTTTTACCTTTGATATTTTATATCAAAGTCACTTGATCGCTGGATACACATCAGTGTTGAGCTTGAAATTTGCCGGTATGAAATTTGCTAGGAACTAACAAGAATGCTAGAAGTTAAAAATCGGTAAGCAGACGCACATTAAATTCTCAATGTTTTTCCAAACTATTATTATTAGAAAGATATCGATAACTTTTTTCATTTGTTAATGTCGAGAAAAGTATTGGAAATATTACATCGACTAACATCACGTGTCATCGACATATAGGATAAGCAAGCTGTAGTAAAACAATAATATTTATACTAATTTTAAAGATAATTTTATTTATAGAAATTATCTTTCGTTATTTTTCATTATGTACGAGGAGTTTAACGAAAAGATTTGTTTCAAAGATTATTATTGATATAATACGCTATTTATTTGACGCTGGCAAGTTTATGAATTATGATCAAATATAATTAAAGTAAAGGGTGCCCCAAAATGCACGCAAGAAGTAATTTTGATAGAAAACACAGGTTTATAATTAAAAATTGTAAAGTTTTTATTAATTCATAAAGTATACAGTATAGGGTTATGTATGGAATAGCATATCGGGTAAATGGCCTTCACGCCTTTACTGGCACATATGCACTCTTTTGTTGAAATTTTCCATAACCGTTTTGCATAAATGTGGCTGAATTTCGTTGATACAGCGCTCAATTTCTTCCTTCAAGGCATGGATAGTCGTGAGCTTGTTGGCATAAACCTTAGACTTCAAAGAACCCCAAAGCAAAGAGTCGAACGGCGTTAAATTTGGGCGGCCAAATTTGATCACCAAAACGGGAAATTACACGACCAGGAAATGACTCATGCAGTAATTGAATTGTTTCTCGGGCTGTATGGCATGTGGCACCTTGTTGAACCTTCTTGTTGAAACCACATCTGCATTTTAAACACAAAAAACTGGATTATCATGTCGCGATAGCGAGCACCATTAATTGTTATTGCCTGACCAGCCGCATTTTCGAAGAAGAATGGTCCGATGATGCCTCTAGTCCAAAATCCGCACCAAACAGTGATATGTTGTGAATGCATTTGTTTCTCAACAATCACTCGTGGATTTTCTGAACCAAATGCGACAATTTTGTCGATTAACCAAGCCATCAAGATGAAAATAAGCCTTATCGCTGAAGATGATTTTGTTCGAAAAATCAGCATCCACTTGTTGTTGTTCCATAATCCATTCAACGAACTCTCTTCGTTGTGGCCGTTTACCCGATATGCTATTCCATACATAACCCTATACTGTATACTTTATGAATCAATAAAAAATTTACAATTTTTAATTATAAACCTGTGTTTTCTATCAAAATTACTTCTTGCGTGAATTTTGGGACACCCTTCATAAGTCTCGTTTTGCTTATGCATATATCTCGTCTCGTAGATAAATTTTTGCGTATTCTCCATAGTTCACCGGACGAAAGATATTTCGAATCTTCTTATATGAAGGCTTTTTTCGAAAGCTTCTCACATAAAGTTGCGCAATATGGATAAGTACGCTATCGAAGTTTTTACTATCTGCAAACGAAATAAATTATAAGAGAATATGTGAAAGTTCATATTGAGATAAAACACATTTAAGTACAATTAACTTAAAAACTATTTACTAACTTACGCTTGTGAGTGTGTCCAGTGATAACATGTAGAATTTACCAGCGGTCAACACCAGTGGTTTTTCAGATCGGATCATACAAATACTGAGAATCTTCCCGCACGACGGTGAAGTATTGTACCAATCGGTGTTGTAAAAAGTGTCGCGCAATCTGGTACTCTGAGTGGAACAAGAGATTTCACAAAAAGTCGCTGTGGCAGAAAGATCGCGACGCTTTTCTTTAACGAATTTTGTAACGCATCCATATCCAATAACAATTGAGTAAGCATCGTAAGATAGATTTTTTCTATCGCATATCGGGTACGTTCCGAGGTACATACAAAGTAAAAGTGTTGCGATCTTTCCTTTCACCGGCATTGAAGAAAATCGATCAAATTCGAAAAAGAAAAAAAAAGAAAAAGGATAATCGCTTATGATTTACTAGGTATATAAATGAATAATCCAAATTTTTCAGTTAAATTCAAGGTTTATCTTAAAAGAAAATAAAACAAATTTGTCAATTAAAGTATTCGCCGTTGCTTTTTACAACTTTAAGTCATTTTTCAGGCAGCTGATGAATTTTATGTCGGAAAAATGTTATGTTTTTGGGCACGATAAAGTCGTCAAGCCATTTTTGAATCTCATCCACTGATTTGAAGTGCGTATTAGGCAAAGCATGTTGCATCGACCGGAACAAGTGGTAATCGGTAGGAGCAATATCTGGTAAATACGCCGGCTGCTGCAAGATATCTCAGCCAAGACTCATTATGATGACTTTTGTCGTAGAAGCAATGTGTGGCCTAGCGTTATCATGCAACAATTTCACAGGACGTTCTCCTTTGCTACTATATTTTTCGTTCTAATTCTTGACTCAAACGGATTAATTGATGTTGGTAGCGGTCCACAATAATTATTTCATTCGGTTTTAATAACTCATAATAAATCCCTTCATATCCCACCAATAGAGCAGAATCTTCTTTCCGAAATGTTTTAGCTTTGCAACCGACGTTAAGGATTCACCGGGATTTACTCATGACTTTTTGCATTTCGTATTGTCATAGAGTATCTACTTCTCATCACCCGTAACAATTTTCCACAAGAGAGACTTTCTACGCTGCTTATTGAAAAGAGAAAGATACATTGCCATTCGTTGATTTCTGTTAGTTTCAGTGAGTTCACGGAACCCATTTTCCTTTTTTCTGAATCTTCCTCATCTCGTACAAGTGTTTGAAAATAGTTTGTTGCGTTATTCCTAACTATTCTGTAAACTCTTTTTGCGTTTGTGCTGAATCTGAATTCTCAGCGAGCAGTTGCTTCAAATTGTTGCCGCACTTCTGAAGGCCTCCAGGACGTTCTTTGTCATTCAGACTAAAATCGCCGCTTTTAAACCATCTAAACTAAAATGCATACAAATCGTACGATACGACACCTTCGCCGAGAAAGGAACAAATCAATTCGCATGCTCTTGCAGCATTTTTTCCTTGTTGGAATTTGTAAAGAACAATGTCGGATATGCACCTTATTTGTTGTCATTTTTGACTGTACTAAACTGAGTAATTTTTGAAGTTATGTTGTGAGCCTTCCGCCATATTAAATATAATTTTTAATAGCTATATGTCAATACTACATAACCGTAAAAGAGCGGGAAAATTTTATTATTTGAAACTTAATTTCTTAGCTGCTTAAAAGCGTTTGAATTATTCATTTGTATACCTAATATTTATTGATGCGAGGTTGTAATAAGAAAACCTGCGAAATCAGTTCAATAATGACCTCGTTAATAAGACATTCTCCAATATAACAGTACGCAAAAATTGTACTGACCACGCAGCATATGTACAACAAGAAAGTTACGACGTTAGTGCTGTCACCATATTCCGAATTCTGAAATACAATTACATTTTACTCGCAAACTGTCAGTTGATGATATCAGGGAAGTTCATTTGTGTAGATCAAAACTAGTCTCTAAAATTTATTGCAAGCTTTATGTCATTAATTGTCAGACACCTTGTATAACGTTAATTGATATTTGAAAAGGCTTCCACGTTGCGGAAAAATTTTAGATTTTGCTTTAAGATTAAAACCGTGTTTTTTAATGAATTTATTTGTTCCCAACGAATTAGACGACAACGAAACCAATTTACCGAAAATGCGGCTCCAAGGCTCCAACCCGGAAGCCAAGATCATAACGTTATTCTTTGCGAAAATAATTAATTCATTAACATATAAGCGGACGTATTTTGAACATAATTTTCAGCTACTTTATTTGCAACGTTAAAGGTCTAAAAAAATTGAAAAATATAATTTCTTACGTAAAATTTTACGTTCTTTCAGAATCCATCATCAAAATTTGTGTAAAATGAAGTCTAAAAAAGCTATGGCGGCTTTTAAGTCAAAAAATGCGAAACATCGAAAACAATTTTTTTCAATATTTTTTTTTCACATCAATATAATATGAAACTCCAACTTTTTCTGCAACCATCGATGCACAAAATAGTTGTACTTTAAGGATATTTTTTAAGTTTATCAAAATTGTCATTTCCATTTAAAACTGGCAGCAAAATCGCAAAAATTTACGAATTGTCATGCACAAGCGTGCAAGGCAGAGCTTCACCAAAAGACAAACACGCAGCTATTTGTCACAACACTAGTAATATCTCTACTGTAATTATATCTTTCACTGATTTAATAAAATGATTATATTAATTTTTCTTATGATGTCTGTTCACTAATTTTGTCATTTTTATTTCAAGAGTAGAGAGAAGAGATAATTTTCAAATAAAAATTCACGAAATAATGAGGAAAATATAGACGATTTTCACACCTTTTTAGCCGCCATATTAAATCCGTCATATTAAAAATTGTGTATTTGATCGAAAATCAATTGCAAATATCAATCTCATTATTTTTGGTGATAATAAGTCGTTACTTATCCAAAATTTACGAATAATTGTGGAAAAAATATAACAATTCGTAAATTTTTGCGATTTTGCCACCATTTTAAATGGAAATGACAATTTTGACATATCTAAAAAATATATCCTTAAAGTATAACTATTTTATGCACCGATTGCGGAAAAAGTTGGAGTTTCATACTATATAGATATGAAAAAAAAATTGAAAATAATTGTTTTCGATTTTTTCGCACTTTTTTAAAGCGCACGAATAATTGAACGTTTCAATTGATCGCAATTTTTAAACTCGTTTTCTGTTACTTTAATATTATTCTTTCATATTGTGGTTAGTATGGAAGTGTAAGCTTTTGCATGGATAAACTGCAAAACTATTATAATTAATAATAATAAATAATAAACTGTTATAATAAATAAAGTTACGAACTGACGCAGAACATGATAACGAAACTGTAATTTTTTAATTTTTCATTGAATTTTACATAAAATTCTTCGTTCCAGACTTCGTTTTCATAAGTACTTTCATTGTGCAAAAGGATTTTTCAATCTGTGCAGCTAATAAAAAGATTATTGTTTGAAAAGATTGAAATCAATGTGTCGGTAAAACAGACGGCTCCAGGATCCCCTTAACATTGCAAATAAAGTCGCCGAAAATTATGTTCAAAATATGTCCGCTTAAGCGTTAATGGGTTAATCGGTACCGAATTAGACGCTTAATATTTCAAATCGTGAAACTCACCGCGAGCATGTGATACGTAGTCAAACAGAGCAAGAAAATGGTGCCCAGAGTTTGCTGAAGAAATATCATATTGAAATTGTTTTCCAAGATTTCTGCTAATCTGGAATGCGCTGAGTATATAATCTTAAGATTATATTATCGTATTGTTCCCGATATCGAATTTTATACCGTTCACCGATTTATATGATCCTACAAGGACCATCTTACAATCGTCATACAAGCACGTAGTGTCCGCGATCAGAAAATTAAAATTGCGCAGTAGGAGGATATGCATTAAACGTATTTTGGTTCAAATCTCTATTTGGACAGTTTCCGATTATACTTCTCACTCTAACTTACACTATGTGAAAGAAAGTAACGAAAAAATGTAGCTATAAATTCGATCCTATCAAATCGGACGATCATCTTTTGTAAAAAGAACGTGCAAGCGCGCATCGACAATAAATAGACTTACGTAATTAGCTGACGATGCCTCAATACAATGGCACCGATATGACGATTGTAATTCTCGTGATCTTTCAACAATTCTTCGATTTTATATGACAGAACGGCGAATTGACCGCAAATGTGGAGGGCCATGCTGAGTACGAAGGAATCCGGTGCTGAATAGCCGCACACTATCATCGGCACAGCAATTATTTGATAGGCGCAAAGGCAGAAGTAGGTGGTAACATCCTGGATCTCGAAAAAAGGATACGTCCGGTACGGTAATTCGTACGAAGCATTATGGGTCGATACTGCATAAAATAATGTTATTTTTAACTCCTTATTGTTGCTTATATAGTGTTTCTTGTAAACGATATGCAAAAATACACGATGTATTTTATTTTCTAAACGAGACGTTGTACCAATGCTTTGAATTAAATTTTATGTATTGCACAAGTAATACGGAAGTGTCGTGTGTATCGAAAGTATCGATTTATCGTATATTGTGTAATACAACGCTTCAATGCGATTGCAAGTTTGGAAAGTTACTTTTTCAAAGATAACACGTTATATTATACGTGGCGTGTTGAAAAAAAGTAACTGGTTACGGTTATCACTATTGCATTTGTTTAATAATTATGTGCTTTTTGTACTGTTTAATAATTATGTACGATACGAACTTTGTATAAACATAACAAAAATGTTATTATTTTGTTAGTAGTGACAATATTATCGGTTTTGTTACTCAAGAAGTAACGAATAAATAGGAGAAGGAATAGGAGAAGATTGAAAGATCAAAAATTATAACAACCGTTACAATTTTCGGTCAAAGTAATTGAGAAAGAGAAAGAAAGGGGGGAGAGAAAGATCTGGAATAATCAGTGTCGTCGATGAATTCTTGAATAATTTTAACAAAATCTGAACGATTTCCAAGTCGTGTTCTCGATAAAGATATCAACGTCTAATCATCACGTTTATACCATATGCATCGCATTCTCTATTCATGCCAGAACATACAAGAACTCGACAATACAGGCGATAACGTATCGCGAATTATCACAAAATACAGAAAAATACTCGTCGTATACTTACCCGTCCAGCTTTCGAGAAATCTCCTTATGTAGTATAACGTACCCGCTAACGTGGCCATGCCTAGCGACACCTTGATGAATATAAGTGCGAACTTGTTGTAATGCAAATACAACGTCTTCTCCCGCGCGCTGCTGTAACTTTTGGCCGAGAAATCGGGCTGAATGGTATTCAAAAAATAGACCATTATCCCGCGGCTTCGCTCGCATATGAACATCTTGCCTATTATCATCGTGAATAGAATGTTCTCCGCTAGATTGGCGATGATATATTCCGGCTTGCTGAAATATTTGACCAAGTGAGCCCCTCCCATGGTGCAATGGATCACCATGTAGACAAAGAAGAATACGAACGCCACCCGGTTCACTTTCATAGGCCATATGCCGAGAGTAATTAAAAACCGTTTATTCCACGATATTATTCTAAACGCTCGGGTGAATGCGGTTGTCTGAAAGAAAAATCGGGAGATCGTCATAAGATTATATACATGATTCGAGAGAGAAAGAGAGAGAAAGAGAGAGAGAGAGAGAGAGAGAGAGAGAGAGAGAGAGAGAGATATCTATTATCTGACTGGGCTTATCATAACTATATAATTCACATTTATTAAATGTTGTCTTCTTAAAAAATAAGAAAGAATAGGGAAAAATTTTAAGATACAAGAAGATGCAAAAAAATCTATGCCAAATTGTTGGAAACTGGCAAAGTTCCGTCTACAAGAGTTCCGTCTCATATACCGGACATTTTATTTTTACTGAATAGATTGATCAGACACTCGGGAGAAGATAGCACTCAAATATAAGAAGTAAGGAATCTAAATGAAAGTAACAATTGCTGACATAATTGATGGAACAAAGGGAGGAAGGGAGAAATAATTGCAAATTCGAATTTACACACTTGCATGATTCGTGTACTTCTGATGCGTGTTTACAGCCGACTGATCGCAAAAGTCCCGTGTCTGCTCCGAAGTAAACTTCCCGCCGAAAGAAAGGGAATGGTCGATCGTGTAGAAACGAGGAGACATATCAATTATCCTGCAAGATTAATAAACCGGTCTCGTTGTCTGACGGAATGCAACGTCGGAAGCGAAACGTAATTATGAGCTAAAGTTTGTCTGAAATATCGCAGGCACATCGTAATTACAGCTTCCCCTAACGTTTCTTCTCGTTTCACATATTATAAGACCTTGTTTCGTTTTGTTCTTGACGTGCGACAAGAGATACCCATTTAGCCAGTTCGGGTTTATCATAACTATACGTCATGTTCGTCAGATGTCTTTTTCTCAAAAAATGGAGAAAGAGAGAGAGAGAGAGAGAAAATGACAGAGAAGAGAAGAAAAAGGACTTGTTAGAGTCACATATGGGAAACACAGCAGTTGGTGCACAACCATTTGGTGGCCACTATTGCAAACTATATTGATAATATTTTCATCGTCATATATGTGAAACGGTTATATATTCTTTTGAGTCGGACATATTATATTAATAACGAATGTTTGTGTAAAAGTCATAGTTCAAAGTGATAGTTTGAGTGGAGTGCTGTTCTTCTATCAATTGTACCGGCTACTACGTGAATCAACGAGAAGAGCATGTTTAAAAATAGTCGTCGAATTCAACTGAATGAAACACCTATGAGTGACCGGTGGTATAAGAGCCAAGATAAGCGATAAAGAATTGATAATAACAACTGTAATTCCAATAATTGTTAACCATTCGTTAAGAGTTTTGTTCCGCGGAAATGTCGAGTTCGCACGATCGAACAAATACCGAATAACAAGGTAAATACGCAATTTTCGAGAATAGCGATAATGAGAGAGAGAGAGAGAGAGAAAGAGAGAGAGAGAGAGAGAGAGAGAGAGAGGGAGAGAGAGAGAGAGAGAGAGAGAGAGAGAGAGAGAGAGAGAGAGAGAGAGAGAGAGAAACAAACACGTTATCAAACAATTTACAATAGTTGAAGTGTCAAACTATATCCTGTTCAACAAGTAAGTGTGGGTGATATTTTTGTAGAAAATCACAGTAGCACCATCTACCTTATACCGTTTAAATCTCGAAACTAACCTCTTTTGCGCAGTGTACATCAAAAAGTTGCGTAATCGTTAAAAGTAAACATTATTTTTAAAAATAAATGTAAAATATTTGAAGCGTTACGAGACGGTAGTTCTTATTAACCATCCCAAAGGACCAAAATCAACAGTCGCGTTAGCTGTCAGAGCAATTAAGAAATCAGAGCTTTTCGTAAGGAAGTAAGTAAATAGGTTCAAAACTGCTTGAAATGTTGATGACCTGTCAGAAAGGGGACTATTTCGTGCAATGACTCCGAAGGAAGACAAAGCGATTTTGTGTCTCTTTCAGACGAATTCCAATCTTACCTTGCGTCAGGCCCAAGTAAAACTCCGCCGAAAGGGCAGCATATCTCACTTAATACTATAAGAAGCCTGTATAAAAATGATGTGGCATTTCGGTCTACTACTGCTGATGAAAAAACCGCTGCTATCAAAGAAGCATTCTCAAAAAAGAAAAGAGTGGACACAGAAAAGTATCATTGACATCATTATTTCTTGTTCAATTATTAAGGTTAAGAGTGCGGGAGCCACGGTTAGGAAAAGAATAGATCTCGTTGGAATCGAAACTACTTGAGAATATACGCATGAATATAGTTACACAAAATATGAAAGCTGTAATTTTTATTATTTAAATATAATGACCAAACATTAGTTTAGATTATTCCTATTGTTAATAAAAGTTTTGTTTGAATTTAACAAAATTTATTTTTTTACAGTAAATATTTTTAATATATAATAAGAAAACGGATAATCAGGACATATAAATATATCTAGTATATTATTTGTAGAACGTACTATGATTGCAAATATTTAGAGGATATACAAGATATATTGTTGTAATATCCTTTTAATATTCTTAGAATCTATCTGTTCTGTTAAAGGCAAAATCCATATATATTCTTTCAGGAACTGGATAAATATTTTATTTATTATTTTAATTTTTCGCTTGAAAACTCGCATAATTAATGCATTTAGATAAAAATCTTATCTGTAAATTAAAACACTTAAAAGTTTAAATATTGCGCCATTGCAGGGCTACTTTTTCTTCGTGTTTTTTCTACTTGTTGTATAGCGTTCGAATTTGATGATTTTTTCGTTGTTTCTATATTTTTACCGGTAAATCTTTCCATTGCCCTGGTATAAGATCCAGTACAAACTCGGCCCCAGATCTTACGATCTTCTGCGTATTGCTTATTTTTTTCCTCGCTGGATGTTCGCTGCATATCATCTTTCTTCGCACTATTATAATAATCCTTCTCTAAGAATGTGCTGGAGTTCGTGATAAGTTGAATGTCTTCCCATGACATATTTGTGTTAGATTGCACGCTAGATGGTGTGGGACAATTGTCACTGGACAAGGAAGAAGATTGAATGAAGGATAGTGGTGCCACTAATTTTACTTGTTCGTCTGACTGATTGTCAATTGCGGGTGGTTCACTCTTTGCTTGAGAGTGCGTCCGTTTATAGCTATCAGAATCATCTAACTGATCATGAGCGGTGTTATCGTTTAATATAATCTTTGCTGTTGATGTTCTCTTCCTCAAATTTTCCAAATTTTCCTTAGGATTACTCTGGGAACTATCTACTCGATGTAGAATATCTTTGAGATTTACATTCGCAGTGTCAGCGCCTGAACTTAACTTGATTGGTTCGACCTTAGATGTTTTAGGTTCGAATCTTCCATTGATCGTGGTGACAATTGTTTTCTTAGATATTGTGTCGTCATCTTTGTTTGTGGAAGTTACATTAGCATATATATAATTAGGTAATCTTTCTTTTTGGCGAACCGTCACAGCAATCTTTGATTGTGTTAATAATTTCGGTTGTATCTGGATTTTATCTTCAATAGTTTCCATCTTTTTCGGTTGTATCTGAATTTTATCTACAACAGTTTCCATCTTATCATGCCCATTGTTGGACATGAGTGCATCTCTCACGCACTGTTTATATTTTTCGTCAATTGTAGTATCGAGATTACTTCGAATACTTCCATTTTCGATGAAAATAAACTGTCTATTATTATTTTCTGATTGCAAGAGTGACTGTTGATTTGAAGATAAATTTGTATTTTCATTCCAATCGATTAATCCTCGCGAGATAGTAGCAGCGCTCTTTTTAATGTTCAACTTTGTAAAATTCTGCTCGTTCGCCTGCGTGACTAAAAAATCCTTTGCTTTATCTCGAATCTCGTCCTCGTCTTCTACATCGTCATCGTCGTAATCGTCTTCGTTACAGGAATCATTGTCGAAGCTTTTTAAAACTCCCTCGTTTTTCTCATTGCGTTTTCGGAGTTCCTCCCAATTCTTTCGTGGCTTGTAGCTTGTTTTGCGACGGATAATCTTGCTTTCGGTAATGTTAATATCCGGAATAAAAAGACGCAATGCCTTTGTACCAGTCGGGAACATCAACTCGTTAATTCTTTTCTTGGACATAATCGCTTTCAAGCTTGTCTTCGAAGCTACTTCTTGATGTTTGTTAAATGCTGAGACCAGCTGCGCTACCGTGTATTTGGGCTCTTCATTTTCCGATTCCGTTGAACGATTTTCCTTATCATCGGACGTAGCCGAGTTGTTGGAACGGCTGGAAATGTTAGAATACTGGCGCTCACAAGAACGTTTGTCTACATTGAATTCTCTATCGTGGCTTGAAGATGTGTAGTCTGAATCCTCCGTTAAGGTGTCCGACTCAATAGACTTAAGGGAGTCCATATTCTCCTCGGATTCTGAACTAAGCTTCTTCGGAGTTTGTGGTAAATCCATACTCTTCGTTTTCCGCTTCAAATTATTTGACTCGACGTTCAAATTATCTTGTTTGTCGCCATTGAAGTCATTCGTACTCGTTAACACAGTTATTGTTTGATCTCGGTTAATTTCCTGTTTGATCTTATCAGGAATTGAATTAATTTCTAATTTTGTGCAAGTGATCGCATCGTTATCATTTATTGAAAGCGCGAGTTTGGAAGATGCAATCTCTACGCCAAATTGTTTGAAAATAGGCAGTATGTCATCGGTTTGAGCGCGCTGATAACTTTTTCTTCGTCGTTTTAAACATTCTAGACTTCTGTAAATATCTAGTACATCTTGTGATTTTGACAGACATCTCAAGCCATATAACTTTTCGCGAGATTTGCTTATGGTGAGATTTATTGAATTGACGGTGCTGCTTTGTATGGAATTGGTCGCGGCGGAGCCGTTTAACAGACATGCTTGAGACTGAACACGATTTAAGCTACGTATTCTCGAAAGTATTCCACGACTCAGGCCTTGGTTTAGATTAGTGTGCGATCGACTTTGAGCTTTATTCAATAACCCCTGAGTCTGTTCTTGATTCAGCAGACAGCTTTGACTCGTACAACTCAGATTGGTCTTGGATGAATTCAAACTAGTCTGAGAATTTGTTGGACTAGGAAAATCTTCGCTACCTGCTAAGCTGCAATAACTTTCTGTAATGCACTGATTTAGACACATTTCGCTCTGACTTAAAAGGCAATCCTGTAAATTTTGTTGTTGATGCTCTCGATCGTGAACGTCCACGCAAAGATTCGCCTGACTGGTTGTTTGGCTTATTAGAGCCGCTCTTCTCAAATTTTCTCGGCTGACAACGCGTTCTAGAAGAACTTCTCTTGATTTCGACAAGTATCTTCGTAAATGTGGAGAAGCTTGCATGGGAGCACCTCGCAGCCAATCGTGGCGCAGGCATTGTTTCGCAGTCATTCGTGCACTGAAAAAGAAAATAAAAATTGATTATTTTTTATTAAAGGTATGTTAAAATGAATTTAATTTTACATTGATATCATGTGATTCTATTATAGACTTAAGATAAATATATCAAATGTACAAAATTAAATTAGTAAATGCCGGAAAAATATTATAATGAATAATATAAAATAAATATTAAAAAAATTTCTTTGATTTAAAATCCCTAGAAAAACTAAGAAAAATGTTTGAGATATACTTATTTAAAGTCGCTTAGTTTTTGCCCTTTTTGCTTTGAAATGCACTTATTTTAATAAGAAAATGAATTAATATATTAATCAAAATATTTTCCATTGTTTTCTATTACTTTTTCCCATCTTTCTGGCAAACGTTGGATTCTGTGACGATAGAACGAGTTGTTTTTTTAAGCAAACTATTTATCTACCCATTTTTGGACTCTTCATAATTGAAGACGTGTGTCTCGGCGAACGTGTATTGCATCGATTAGAAAAAATGGCAATTTGATGGAGCCAAGTTTGGAAAATAGGCTGGGTATATATACGGTGGGGGGGGGAGGGGAAGAACTTCCCATTCTCCAATAGTGTTTCTTTTATGGTTCTTACAACATGTAGTCGCACGTTATTATGTAAAAGAATCACTTTGTGTCTATTACTGGCTACTGACGGTCTTTTTCGCATCAATTTATCGTTCAATCGATACAATTGTTGTTAGTAGTGATCAGTTATGACTGTTTTGTTTCGTTGCAAAAGCTTATAATAAAGCATGCCTTCCTGGTCCCATTAAATACAAAATAATGTCTTATAACAATGAATATTTCGTTTTGGTGTTGATATGAATGGTTGGCCAAAGTCCACCCATGATTTCCTCTGCTTGGGATTATTAACCCTTGTTATGCACTGTGGGGTCAAAACGAAAGATTTTCGATGATAATTTACGGTATGTTAATTTTCGAAAATAGGACTTGTACTGTCATCTACTGTTAGTTCTGTGTCTCTTCTTTCAGCTCAAGCACGATGTGCCATGATTTAAGCGTCAGTACGATTCTGACTGTGAAGTGAAGTTGACACTCTCCGGTCTGGAGAAACTTTTTTGAAAGTCCTACTATTGTATTCATTTTTTTCTTAAAGTGACATATCTTAAGAATACTTCCTCAAAATTTTAACAAAAAATATTAAAAATTACGTTCGCTACAATATCTTAAGTAAAAAATATCATTTTTTGTGCTCTTTTGCTTTATAAATTTTTTTTTTAAGATCAAATTCACAAAAGCTACGCTATCATTTAAAAATATATTTGAAATATATCCTGGAATTTTTGCCAATCCAAAAAAATAATAATTTCATTGCAATACGCATTTTTGTAACTGGAATCGCGAGAGACCCAATATGACCATTATGCGATTCTACAGAAGTGTGCATAAGGTTTAAAATAAATCTACTTTTTATCACTAGTCACAATGCGCCACAAACAAAAAACTTTTTTTCTCAGCCTGGTAAGCAAGGAAGCCGCGATAGACAGATGACTTAAAATGGTATGGTATTATATTTTTGGACAATTCATGTGGCAGCTATTTTCCTTTCTTTTGAATTTTTCCCATGATACGTAAACGCTAAGAAACTAGCTATTGAATAATAATGAATACCTTTGATAATTATTCAAGTGTTTGAATTGGACTTTCATCCAATAATATTTGCAATTTGGTGCCCTTAAATTTTTTCGGCTGTGCGCCACGTTTTTCGTCTTCCATATTGAAATCACCACATCTGAATCGTCTAAACCACTCTCTACATGTTCTTTCTGATGGAGCTTGCTCACTATAAGTTTCAGAAATTAATCGATGCGCTTCAGCTGCAGTTTTTTTCAAATCAAAGTAGTGAAGAAGTACATATCGAAAAAACCATTTATCATATTTCATTTTAAATCGATTAAGATATATTTCTGTTTTCCCAAAAATAAACCTTTGCGCACTAAATTTTATTGATAGACGTCCAACCTTCAAAAGACAATCAGCTTCAGCTATTAAAGCATATCACTTTTGCAGCTGGAATCATCCCTTGTGAGTGGTGGAAACTAAGTTTATCACTTAATAATCAGCTTGTTTCTTCAATTAAAAGCCATTATTCTTCGACAAAAATGCTGAAATATCCATATGAAAAATTGAAGTAAATTTAACATTGAGATTAAAAGACCTCGCGTACTTGAAACGCATTGATTATACAGGATGTACGAAAAGTATTGAAACCCCTTAATATCTCGGAAAATACGCATTTTATAAAAAGATGTTTTGTACAAAGTTAGTAGGGTATTTTAAAGCGTATTATATGGCAATATTATTATGACCTTAAATAGCGTTGTCAAGGTCACGTGAAAGTCATTTTAAATTTCTTAAATAGAAGCCCCTATTTTTCATTACATGTTCTTGTAGCTTATCTTAAGGGCTTTCCAAAACACTATAAATAAATGTTTTCTCGTTAGATATTTTTCGAGTTACAAGAAAGCTAAAAGTTGCAATACCGCCGGCATTAGCATTACCCAAGATGTACTGTGTGGAGGTTACATGGGCGGATTTACACCTCTTTTGTGTACGCGTGTGTGGTACACGCGCGCGGGCGCGCGACGTGTGCTTTCGTGTATACAAGGTGTTTCTGAATGGTCTATACAAATTTTCAGAGTTCCAGAGATTTCAAATGTTCCAGAGACCAAAACAAGCAAAAATGTCATATGAACATGGAGTTGAAAACGCTTCTTTCTAGAGTTATAACGGTTTGAAGTTTTCCTGCAGTAGAAGAAATTATAACGTTAAATCGTATAGGAGTTACAAGCTGTATTTATTTATTTCTACGGGTATAACAAGACAATACATTTGCTATAGCAAATGTTCAAAATGGCCTCTGTTAGATTTCAAGGGAGCCTGTGCACGTCGTCGCATTGATTGGCGAACCCATTGGAAAATACCAAGTTACGGATGATGTCGCAGCCATCCAGGATCCGCTGACGAAGAGTTGCAACATCTGGTACTGGGACAGAATAAACAAGAGTTTTCAAATACCCCTAGAAGAAGAAATCCAATGGATTCATGTCAGGTGAGCATGCTGGCCACGATATTGGTCCTTCCCGATCTATCTATCGACCAGGATAGGTGGCATTTAATAATTCTCTGGCGGGTCGACTGAAATGGGATAGTGCATACATAAACCGTCATACATAAACCACATTCTTTGTCGTGTAGGCAATAGCACATTCTCTAGGAGTCTTGGAAGTTGATTTTCTAGGAAATCGCGATAAGTTTCAGCATTTAATCTAGCTGGTAAAAAATACGGCCCAATCAAGTGATCACCGATAATTCCTGCTCAAATTCCTGCTCAAAATCAGGCCAAATTGCTGCTGATACCGAGATTGCACAATACCGTGAGGATTTTCTTCTGCCCAGAGGTGATTGTTGTGAAAATTAATTATTCCATCTCTGTTAAAACCAGCTTCATCTGTAAACAATAAAGAAGAATCAAAAACTGAATCCACATACTGCTGTAAAAACCATTGAGAAAACACCAATCTTGCTGGAGAGAGTCTCTGGACTCTCTGCAAATGATATGGATAAAGTAGCTGTTCACGCAGAACTCTCCATAATCCGGTAATGTGAGATACATGTTCTGCTCTTGCAATTTTTCTTGTACTGATTGTTGGGATTGTTGTCAACTCGATCTAAAATGCTTTCTTCAACATCAGTAGTTCGAACAGTTCTTGAAGCACCATAATTGGCTGTTACCGGCCTGAATTGCTCAGTTTCACATAATCGGCGGTCAACTATACAAACGTTTGATGATTTGGAGTTCGATGGTCTAGAAAAGTTTTTTGGTACATTCGAGAGGCTAACCGTCCATTTTCACCGACACGGCCATATATCAGATAGATATCCGCCAATTCTTCAAATGAATATTCATTCATGTTTTTAAAATAGGCTTACAAATAAGCTTTGCAGGATACTTTCAACTGAAATGCTTGCTTTTGGAGTTATGATGCTTTGAAATTTTCCAATGACTAAAAAACTTGTCATGTCAAATTACGTAGTCTTACTTCAAAACAAAACTAAATAAAAAATTCAAATGAAAAGCTCGAATATAGCAAGAAACTCCAGGCCGTCGAATTCCAAACCATCAAACATTCAGCAATTAATCGGCGATTATGAAAAATTGGACAATTCAGGCCGGTAACAGTCAACAATGGTGCTTCAAGAACTGTTCGAGAACTGTTCGAATCTGATGTTGAAGAGAGAAAATTTTTCTTAAGACAGTATTTTGAATTGTAATAACTTTTTTTATACTGCAGTAAAATTTCGAATCATCATAACTTTATAAGTAAGCGTTGTCGACCCTATGTTCATGTGTGATATTTTCTGCTTGTTTTGGTCCCTGGAACATATCCTGAAAGTTTATACAGACCATTCAGAAACATCCTGTATACATATATATTTTTATTTAACCCTTTAATTGCTATGGTCGAGATAACTCGAGTGTGGAAAAATGGCGGCCTTGCTACGATCGAGTTTACTCGATTTGGACTTTCAATGTGTGTGGTATTGCGTATGGTATTTTTTTTTAATTTAAAAATGTGAATTTGTGAAAATCTCTGAGGATCATCAGCAAATTATAAAATATTTTATAATTGTAAAAATAACTCAGCAAAAAGGGTCATATTAGTCATTTAATATCTCAGCAGTTAAAGGGTTAAGTGTGCATAAATACCGCTACATGTTTTTGAGCGTGGTTTCCAGATTTTTCCCCGCTAGACTATTTCCTTTGGGGTTACCTCAAAAATAAAGCCTACAGCACAAAACCTCGGAATTTAAACGAACTTCGTTAAATAAATGACGAGATATATTTGATATCTTTCCATTTTTGCGAAAATGCCATTTCCAATTTTTATACTAGACTGGCACATTGTCAGACTGTTAATGACCAGCAATTTGAGCATTTATTATGAATGCAAACGAGTAGTATAGCTAGGCCGGTTCTAACTCAATTTGCAAAAATGTTTTGCAAAATTCGCTCTTTATTAATTAAATATTTTCATTAATAGCCCCCCTCTTTATTGATACCCCCTTCTTTATCGATACCCCTCTTTATTAATACCCCCTCCTTTATTGATACTCCCTCTTTATTAATATCCCCCCTCCTTCCTAGAATTTTTTGATTCTAGGGGCAAGATGGCGGTCGTAACGTCACGCATATGTCCAGAGAAAAACGTGCCGGAATGTTGCTAAACTCGAACCTGGGCCCTTGCGCCCATTTTTTTCAAACACTAATTTTTTTACACTGACTTCTAAGCTCATTTCTGTTACTTCAGTATTATTCTCTTATATTAGGTATGTGGATTAATTCTGTTACTTCAGTATTATTCTTTTATATTAGGTAGATGAATTAATTCGGTCCATCTGGCGGTCAATTGCTGTACTATGTAATTTTCTAACCTCTAATGTCTGCAAAAGGCTTTATTTTTTAGTTTTGATATCTGGCAATAATATTCAGTTGATTTAATAAATGTTTGGGTTTGTAATAATAACATCGTGTTTATCTGATTCGAAAATGTCAAAATTCGAGCCAAAAAAGCATCATTTCCGGGAATTTCTCATTTTCTGTTTTCATTTGAAGAAAAGCCGTTGTAGCTCATTGAATACTCGTAGAAGCTTATGGTGAAAGTGCTCCCACCGATAAATCATGCAGAGAATGGTTTCGACGTTTCAAAAGTGATGATTTCAATGTCGATGATAAACCTCGTCCAGGTCAGCCGAAGAAGTTCGAGGACGAGGAATTGCAGGCGCTAATCGATGAAGATCCGTGTCAATCGCAACATGAGCTCGCGCAATTGTTGAATGTTGATCGATCAACAATTTCTGTGCGCTTGACAGCCATGGGAAAGATTTACAAAGAAGGAAGATGGATGCCATACGAAAGAACTGAAAGAAAGAGACATCGAGGGACGAAAAGCCATGTCTGAAATCTTGCTTGCCAGGCAAAAAAGAAAAGTTTTTTGCATCGTATTGTGATTGGAGACGAAAAGTGGATATATTTCGATAATCCCAGACGAAGGAAATCCATTAGCGACCCAGGAAAACCATCCACATCGATACCAAAGCGGAATATTCACGGCAAGAAAGTAATGCTCTGTATATGGAACCAGAAGGGTGTAGTGTATCATGAACTATTAAAACAGAGCCAAACCATCACTGCCAAACTTTACCAACAACAATTGATCCGTTTAAACAATGCATTGAAGAGTAAGCGGCCGGAATATGCAAAGAGACACGATAAAGTGATCTTCCAGCATAATAACGCTCGGCCACATGTTGGAAAGATTGTGAAGGCTACCTTGAAAACATTTGGCTGGGACGTTTTACTTCACCCGCCGTAATCACCAGACATTACTCCATCCGATTATCACTTGTTCAGGTCGATGGCACATAGGCTTTCGGACCAGCACTTCAACAATTATGAAGAAGTAGAGAAATGGCTCAATGAATGGATCGCTTCGAAGGACGAGTCGTTTTTCCATCACGAAATACAACAACTGCCAGATAGATGGAAAAAAATAATAGCAAGCGATGACAAATACTTTGATTAATGTACTTTTTCATGTTTTTTCATACTAAAATCTTTTTTGGAAGAAAAAAACGGACCGAATTAATTCACACACCTAATATTATTCTTCAGTCACTATATATTAAGAAAAGACATGGAGATAATTCGTGAAAAAATTCTTTCAAAAAACCACCTCTAAATGTAATAATATGACAAAAATCACACTTGGCAGTGATCATACTACAAAAAAAAGAATTTTATTACTCTTCAGTTTATGTATATTTTGAATCGACAGCAGAATCATTTGAAGAAAAGGTTTGATGAGAAAACTATCTCTCACTTTTATAATACACCCAAAATCACCCTTAGAATTGCAATACGACTAAAAGTAGACTCCGAAATAAAAAAACATAAAATTGCAATAATAAATCGGGGTACATTTCATTATCATACATTCCCTCGCCTTTTACACAGCTTAGTGCTTTTTGATATCGTGAGACTCCTCGCCTCTTACGAATTGGAGTGTTTTTTTATTGTGAATCCCCTTGCTCCTTACAAGTCGGGATAGTTGATTATTGAGTCTTCTCGCCTTTCACAATTCGGTGGTTACGACAGCTGTATGATAAATACCCGTGTTTAATGACAGATAATGCCACTGACGTAAAATCTATATACCACCGTGTAACGCCATTTTTTGAACGACGCCTGTCAAAATTTCAGACAGACCCATGCGATTTCTTTTTGTTTCCAAACTGTTTGTTTCCAAAAATGGCTTAGCAAAAAGCGGTTCGCGTCAAACGAGAGAATCATCGCAGAAACAGAAGCCTATTTTGCGGAGTTCGACCAATCATATTTTTTGGATGGCTTAAAAAATTGGAATATTGTTGGACTAAGTGTATCGAGTTGAAAGGAGACTATATTCAGAAATAAATGAAAAAAATTAAAAAAACATGCGTTTCTTTCCTTAACATGGGTACCTATCATACAGCCCTCGTATTTGAGATGCTATTAGATTTTCATTTTTCATAGAATGTTCGGAAACAATGCATATAGGAACGATGTTCACATTTAGCATCTCACGTCCTCCATATTGGATCCACCGTTTTTTATTTTCCAGTTTTTACTTTAAATTCGTAATTAACGACTCGAAAAATCCCCGAGTATTAAGTTTGAAATCAATTAGCTCATTTTTAGAATTTTATGTTCGCTATATTGGATTCGCCATTTTAATTTTCTCAGTTTTGACCTCAAATTCATAATCTGTGACCATAAAATCCCTATATACCAGGAAATGATTAAATTTAAATCAACAGAAATAATTTGGCTGTGAAAGGGTTAAAACAGTTTTAATCGACTACTAGGTCTTATTTCAGCCTTTTGTCCTTGTCCTCCAAATTAAACTCTAAAATCCTACAAAATTCTACGAACGCTTTTGTATTTTGAGGAATATCAGTTTGATAAGAGAACTCATAAAATGACATAATAATTATACCTTGGGTCTAGCAACAAAAGTTTTGCAACAAAGTCTTTTGCCTGCGCCGAAACATCTTCGAATATCTCTTCAGGAAAATCTACCTCTCCTAAGGATATATTTTGGAAAGTTTCTTGATCGGATTCGCCACCAAACGGTGAGAAGCCCGTCAGCAGTACATAAGTTGTGACACCAAGTGACCTAAAATGTAATATCGTTTTTGTAGAAAGAAACGTTTTCGTAAAAAGAAACACTGATGTACATGCTAGATAAAATAAGGAAAAAAATTAAAGAAAGAAACACTATAATCTTACCACATATCAGCTGCCAGAGTAATCGGCTCATAATGCAATATTTCGGGCGCTGAAAGAGAGAAAGACAAATCTGATTGAAGAAATGTGTGTATGTGCACACTTATTTGTGACAGTTTTCATATATTTTTTATATTATAAAGTTAGAATGCATAAAATAATCACGAGCTATCACGTATAAGTTTGTGTAGTAATCGGTTATTAGACGCTGAAATGATAATTTAAAAGACATTCGACGTCTCAATTTCAACGGAAGACAAGAAAAAGATAATTATCTTTATTATGTTCTTATCTATTACAAAGTATTGATATAATATAATGATTGACATAATATCAGGTATAGTAAAAAGAAATCCATCATTTTTCCAATATATGGCTTTAGTTATCTGTATCTCGCGTTGTATAAGTCCGATCGGGTTCCACTAGATGGCGTTAGAAAGATGAGATTTCGTACTAAAAAAACTTTTCTGACAGTTTTGTAATTAGTTGACTCAGTTTTGTTTGAGCGCGCGTCAAATATGGACACTAGCAAAGAGAAAATACGCTATATTTTACAGTTTTTCTTCGATAAAGGCGAAAACGCAAGCCAGGCGGCTGAAAATGTGAATAGTGTTTATGGTCCTGATACTGTAACAGCCAATCACGCGCAATTTTGGTTTCGTCGATTTCGTTCCGGTAATTTCGATGTCAAAGATGCACCACGCATTGGAAGGCCAATTGTCGAAAATATCGATAAAATCATGGACATTGTCGAGTCCGACCGTCATGTAAGCACTGTTTCGATTGCCCAAGAGCTAAAGATTGCACAAAAAACCGTTTGGAACCATTTGAATAAGGCTGGATACAAAAAGAAGCTCGATGTATGGATGCCACACGAGTTAACGAAAAAGAACCTCATGGACCGAATTTCCATCTGCGAATCGCTGCTGAATCGCAACAAAATCGACCCATTTCTGAAGCGGTTGGTCACTGGTGATGAAAAGTGGATCACTTACGACAACGTCAAGCGAAAACGGTCGTGGTCGAATCGCGGTGAACCGGCGGAAACGGTGGCCAAGCCAGGATTGACGGCCAGGAAGGTTTTGCTGTGTGTTTGGTGGGATTGGCAGGGAATTATCTACTATGAGCTGCTCCTTTACGACAAAACTCTTAACTCGGAACTGTACTGTCAACAATTGGACCGTCTGAAGGAAGCAATCGCCCAGAAGCGGCCAGCTTTGGCCAATAGGAGAGGAATTGTGTTCCATCAGGACAACGCCAGGCCACACATCGATAGTGACTCGTCAGAAGCTCCGGGAGCTTGGATGGGAGGTTCTTATGCATCCACCTTATAGTCCGGACCTGGCACCAAGTGATTACCATCTGTTCCTGTCCATGGCGAACAATTTTGCTGGTGAAAAATTCGCTTCAAAAGAGGCTTGTGAAAATCGACTGTCTTAATTTTTTGCCAATAGGGACGAGGGCTTCTATGAGAGAGGCATAATGAAATTACCTTCAAAATGGCAACAAGTTATCGAACGAAACGGCGCATATTTGACCTAAATCGAATCATTCTAACTATGGTAATTAAAGCCTTCAATTTCATGCAAAAATAATGGATTACTTTTTACTACACCTAATATAATGAAAAGCTAATATTTACGTCATGAACTTTCACATTAGCTTCTATTATAACCGATTATCTTATAATTCGGTAAGTAATGATTCGCATTTGTGACCATGAAATACTTCTAGTATCATTACAAAAAATCTATGAAAATGAAAATTGTTTTTCAAACAAGTCTACAGTAGCGTTCAGTGCTTATTTCGTTTCATAATCTTCACTATCCATGTCTTATTTTGTGCGTATATCATCTTATATTGGTCTGGGAAAAAGTTCGTGGCATTTTTTTAGTAAAATTCAACTGGTTTTCTTATAGTGTGAAAATGAATTTATTTAAACCAAATATGCTCCATTATTATCGACAATGTTTCGCCATTTTTCGGGTAGAGCCATGATGTCATCGGTGAAGAACTTCTGTGGTTTCTGGTTGAAAAACTGAATCAAGTAGTTTTCACAGGCTTCTTTTGAAACCAGTTTAATTCCATTGAGAGAGTTCTGCAGAGATCGGAACAAGTGATAGTCAGAGGGTGCTATGTCTGGACTATACGGTGGATGCATCAAAACTTCCCAACCAAGCTCTCGCAATTTTTGACGGGTCATCAAAGAAGTGTATGGTCGAGCATTGTCATGACGGAAGACAACACCTTTCCTATTATTCAATTCGGGCCGTTTTCTTTCAATTGCCTGGCGTAATCTCTCTAGTTGTCCACAGTAGAGTTGAGAATCAATGGTCTGACCAACTAGAAGTAGCTCATGGTGGACGATTCCCTTCCATCCTTACCACACACACAGCATCACCTTTTTCGGCGTCAATCCTGGCTTCGCGAACGCTTGTGATGGCTCACCATCCCTTATCCACGATCTTTTACGCTTCCGATTGTCGTACGTGATCCATTTTTCATCACCGGTTATGACACGTTTCAGAAATGGCTCGATTTCATTGCGTTTCAGCAACGCATCGCAGATGTTAATTCGGTCTATCATGTTTTTCGCGCTCAACTCATGAGGAACCCATACATCGCGCTTCTTTTTGTAGCCAGCTTTGTGTAAATAATTCAAAACAGTTTTGTGGTCAATGCCTAGCTCCATACCAATATCGACATTGCTGATATACTTATCTTGCTGGACTTTTTCAAGAATTTCATCAGTTTTTTCAGTGATTGGACGACCAGAGCGTGACTCATCTTTCACATCAAAATTACCAGAACGAAAGCGAGCGAACCATTTCCGCACAGCAGATTTTGATAAAGTACCTTCACCGTACACAGCACAAATTTTTTCACAAGCCTGCGCAGCGTTCTTCCTTTTGTCGTAATAATATTGCAAAATATAGCGCAATTTTTAGGAAGTAAAGGATCCACTCAAATATCTCAGAAACACTGCGTTAAATCGAAAAATGGCGGATCCACTATGGCAACTTCAAATGGCTAACTTTGATATGACATTATTATTTAATTTCGGAAATCTGATAACAAATTCGTGATCAGCGATTCAAAAAACCTCCACGTACCTATTTCTGTGGAAATTGAAGGATTTTGAACATTTTTGTCCACCATATTGGATCCGCCATTTTGAATTTCGAAATTCTGACCCCGGATTCGTAATCGGCAATTTCGAAAACCCCAAGATATCAATTATCATTCATATAGCTATAATTGTTTGTCATGGATTTTTTGTACAAAAACGCTGTTTTTTTGCATTTAACTATTTATGTAAACAATTTTATGAACAATTTATGAGAATTACACATTGAAACATTAATATACTACACTTAATAACATAATACTCGAATGAAAACATAAAACATAAATAAAAAACAGCAAGAAAATCGGGTTTTTTATACTTGAAAAACGTAATAAAATGAAATAAAAAAGGTGGGACTCCAGAATCCCGCTGTGTTTCAAAAGGTTAAAAGAACATTTAGAAATTATACAGTTAATTTACTATGATATTTAAATTTTGAATTTTATTATGAAAAGATATACTACAATTGCGCAATGCAAGTTAATATAATTTTCATTATTAGCATGATATGTTAGCCGACAGAAATTCTCTTCGTATGCCTCTCTAAATTATAAAATTTATATCAACGCATATAAAGCAATCTGTCAAAGGTTGAAAAGAATCAGAAGATGATGAAGATTACTCACCAACGTAATCCGGCGTGCCAAGAATTTCTCGAATTTCAGTACCTTCGAGGATCACTCTCGATATTTCAAAGTCACATAGTTTAACGTCACATTCCGGAAAAGTACTCATCATGACCAAATTCTGGGGCTATAAAATTGAAAAAAGAATTCTTGCATTAGTCATATATAAAGTGTTCAAAAAGTTCCGATACAGCCGGATAACTTTTGAAATATTGGTTATTGTAAAATATTTGGTTGCTGTAAAAATCTAAAGAAAATTCTGTAATATTTTATTCAATCAAGTGAACATTGGCAACGTATTCCGTTACTGCACGGTGCTCTCAAGGTTAAATCATTATTTGCCCTTTGAATGATCCTCAACATTTGCCTCGACTCCTACAACCTGAATGCTCAACAACCTGAACACGCTCTTCAGAATCCGGAGTAAAAAATAGGGATTCCTATTTAAAAAACACGAGTTGACCTTCAAATGACCTTGAAAATAGAGGTCAAGGTTAAAGTCAAGGTCATCATGAGGTAGCTCACTTAAATCCCTATAACTTTTATTCAGGTCATTTTCCTTGAAACCTCAATACTGAAGAGTTATTAGGATGGTCCGTTACTTTTGGGATATCCTGTATATATAAGGGTGTCCCGTTTTAATAGTGCACCTCGATTATCATTGCAGAAAGTACTCGGATGGAAAAATGTTTTAGACAAAAGTTGTATGACTTCGAGGGGGACATTAGTGCCATTAGTGTGACCTTGAATAGTTGCTTGAAGGTCAGGTGAAGGTCATCTTCAATTTCTTTAATAGAACCACCTACTTTTCATGACATATTTTTCTAGCTTACATCAAGAGCTTTCCAAAAACCTATAAAGTACCTTTTTGTTAAATACTTTTTATCTTATAAGGTAAATCAGAGCACCGTCCGGCCGGTCAAGGCAAGATTAGTAAACGACTCAGCCAGTCAAAGCAAAATCGGTAAACGACTCAAAAATTCAGAAAACGATAGAGAAAATTTTATGTTAAAAACGTATCGTTCTTCTATTCCGGACTCTTCTACATCGGACTTTTATTCCGTGTCGTCGCGCAGTTTCTGATCTAAACAAACAATGGAAGTTTATTCATTGTAAAAAAATCAGTCAAACGCATATTATTATCTACTAACTTTTTCTTGTTAGGATAAAAACTTTTCGTATTTTTGCGAAGTTTTTTGTTTCCTTATTATAATTGTTTTGTTTTTTTTATTATAATTATGGCCGATTATCCACCAAATTAAATTGTGAGTATGATTTATATGTTGGGTAAGGCCAGAAATAATTACTCGGCAGCAGAAAGGCTTTATGTTGAAAAATTCCCAGACAGATGCCATCCCGATAGGAGAGTAATAAAGAAACTTTGTGACAAAGCTAAATAGAGCATTCTTAAACGAATACGTCGAAAATCGGGCCCTAACGAGATTACATCGTTGACTGCTGTAGACGCCGTTGTCTTGAATTCTCAAATCTCTACGAGATAAATTGAGGAGCAACACGATATACCCAAATCAACAGCCAATCGTGTGCTCAGGGCCAACAAGTTCTATTCATACCACATTCACCTAACCCAACAATTGGAAAAAAGGGACTTCCAACACCATATACGTTTTTGTAACTGGGCTCAAAATCAAACCCCCGATCCAGCTAATATCCTCTTTTTTGATAAAGACACGATCTGTAACAAAGGGGGCGTTAATTTACGTAACTGTCATTATTATTCAGATGTGAATCCACATTGACAAAGAAGCCGAGAATTCCAAAGGCAGTGGTCTATTAACGTCTGGGTAAGCATTCTGGGAGATATGATTGTGGGTCCATACTTCTTTGAAAGAAACGTCAATACGGCAAACTATTTAAGATTTCTTCAAAATGACTTGCTCAACCTGAGACATATCGATAATAACGTACTCAGCCGAATGTGGTTTCAACAAAACGGAGTACCGGCTCATAGATCTCGATTACAGAATATTTAAATGAAAGATTCCCGAATAAGTGGATTGGTATAGGCAGCCGAATTCAAGAATGGCCTCCAAGGTCACGATTTGACGTTTTTAGATTTTTATTTCGAGGGATACATTAAAAACAAAGTTTTTTCGGAACAACCTACGACTGTAGAAGATACGAAAGACCGTATCAGAGAAGCATGCAGAAATATTAATGCTTCAAAAAGTTAAGGACGATTTTCGACATAGACTTGAACTATGCATACAAGTAAACAGCCAGGTTTTCGAATACCTGAAGTAATTAAACGCAAGCCCAGATCTTGTCTTGACTGGCTGGGTCGTTTACCAATCTTGCCTTGATTGGCTAGGTCGTTTACCGATCTTGCCTTGACTGGCTGGGTCGTTTACCGATCTTGCCTTGACAGGCTGGATCGTTTGACGATCTTGCCTTAACTGGCTGGGTCGTTTATCAATCTTGCCTTGACCGGCCGGACCATGCCCCGATCTTGCTTTATAAGTTAAAAAGTATTTTACAAAGAGGTACTTTATTATAGGTTTCTTAAAAGCTCTCGACGTAAGCTAGAAGAATATGTCATGAAAAGTAGGTGGTTCTATTAAAGAAATTGAAGATAACCTTCACCTGACCTTCAAGCAACTATTGAAAGTCACACTAATAGCACCATCTTATGTCTCCCTCAAAACCATGCAACTTTTGTTTAAAACATTTTTCCATCCGAGGACTTTTTGCAATGATAATCGAGGTGCACTATTAAAATGGGACACCCTGTATAATTTCATATGATTATATGTATACTGGGTGTCTTGAACCACCCAGGTCACCCGATTTCTTTTTTTTTCTTGTGAACGCAACATTTTAGAGAAAATTGTTTCAGAAAAAAGGTGTATGGTTTCAAAGAGGACATAAAACAATTAAATCATTTTGTTTACAAATGACGCCAATTTCAAGATATTCATTGGTTATTATTTTTCTTAAATAGAAACCCTAATTTTTTATATCATCTTTTTCTATGAATTAATTTTAACAACTTTTATCTGTAATATTTTTTTATTTGCTTAATAGTTTTTGAGATATTTAAGGAAAACTTAGTAATTTTTTCAATACTTAACTTACGATATCTCGCTAACTATTCGGAAAAAAAATAAAACTAGACTTTTTTACTCTATTTGGTCTCAAGAATGTATTGTTACAATAGTGTCCTAACTTTTGTTAACTTATCGAAAATTTCAAAATTGTCAAATTAACAAAAGTCAGGGCGCTATTATAACAATATATTCTTGAGACCAAGTAAAGTAAAAATGTCTAGAACTATTTTTTTTCCGAGAAATAGCAAAATATCGTAAATTAAATCTTGAAAATGTTACTGAGTTTTCCTTAAATATCTCAAAAAATATATATACAGGCAAATAAAAAAATGTTTTAGACAAAAATTGTTCAGATTAATTGGTAGAAAAAGATGATGTGATAAAAAATTCGGATTTCCATTTAAGAAAAGCAATTATCAGTGAATATCTGGAAAATGACACTATCTATAACCAAACCAATATAGTTGTTTTATGTCTCCCTTGAAACCATACAACTTTAATCTGAAACATATTTTCGAAAAATATATATTTTCCGAAATTTTTAGAAGTTTCTAGACTTTTTGTAAACCCTGTATATTTTGACCTAAATGTTATTATATTATGAAAAAGCTCATATCAAACTCGTAAAGAGACACTATTATAAGTTTCTTTATAAATTGAATAAAAATAATTATATAGAATCATATTTGATTTTATATTGATTGTGTGTACAGATTACGTACAAATACTAATATGATACGTTTAAATGCATATATAAATATTTGTTTTAATTAATATATAATACATAATTAAATATAATATTTTACTTCATCATATATGTCAAAAACTAAAAGAAAAGAAATAAGTGGGGGAGAAAGTAAAGGGACATGAAAAAGAAAAAGTGAGAAAGCTTTGCTTACGAAGATACATGGACAGTCAGAATTTAAATCATGATCGAGATAATTCCGTACTTGGTTCTTCGCTTCGGATGAACGCGATAACAATCACAAGCATCTTTTTGTGTCATATACCATTAGATACAATAATAAGTTATTTTCGCAGACGACAAGAAATATTCGCTTTTACAAATGAAATGTTATAAATCTTATTATTACGCATTATTATAAGTGAATGTTATTAATCGGAACGAGACTCGAAATTAGTTCGCGCATTCGATTTCATTTATGCTTGGCCGATTTAATTATATCTATATATTTTAATGGAAGGAGGTTCCTATGATTAGTCATGGTATTGTTACATATTATTGATTGAATAAACTCTCATATACAAACATGAAAAGAAAGTCCATTGCAAGAATCCATTGTAAGAATTACGTGACACAATGCGGCGCCGCGCAACATGGCGCACTGTAGCACGACTTGAAGTCAGTTCCTAGATCGTGATATGTAAGAAGTGACGAGTTTTCACCGACTTTTTATGGGTCGAACTTACCTTGATGTCCAAATGGGCAATATTTCTTTCATGGAGATAGGCGAGTCCTTCTACTAGTTGACGCACAAAGTGTACAACATCGCCTTCGAGAGGCACCAAATCGCCGTCAATAAGCGTCTGCAAATCACCGCCGGGGGCACTGAAAGAGATCGCCACTTTTTGAGATCATCATTATGGATCCACAAAATGAAAGACGCGGATAATAGAAATAGTTTAGGATCTATTACTTTGTTGGTAGAATAAGCAATTGTTACGTTTTTTTTATATAAATGTCTCACAACGTTCGACCAAAGTTATTAATAATAACAAATGTCACAAATTTGAAATGAAAATTTGAAACAAAAATATCAAATAGTGCACTTAATCAAATTATTGCAAATAAAATTATGTCAAATGATATATTAATAATACATTAATAATGTCTAGCTTCAATAATATATTATTGATATTTTATTTGATATCATTCCATATTTCTTCTGGAACGTTACTTACTATTCCATAACCAAAATAATTTCTTTCGGCGTCTCGTAGACATCATGTAATCTAACGACACGAGGCGATTGCGAACAAAGGGACAATAAGGCGATTTCGTGTCTCAGTTCTGCACTGCAACTGACATTGAATCTGGTCCTGGATGAATACTTTGCCGCGTAAAGTGTGCCAGTCGTTCGAGATTTGCAGCGATAGACTCTTGCCCATTGACCGCTGTGAGACAAATATTTTTTTATATTTTAAGAAATGGAAAGAAGTATAATTTAAATATTGAATTGCTAGATTTAGAAAATTGAATCAATAAAGCTGTAAAGCCAGAAAGTCAATGTATATAAACATCTTATCTTAATACCGAAATCTCATGTTATTATATTATATACAAGGTGAGGAAAAAATACCGAGACCCCTAAATATTTTGAAAATTATAATTTTTATGAAAAAATGTTTCAGACAAAAGTTGTAGAGTTTCAAGTAACGCATTATATAACAATATTAGTATGACCTTGAATAGCGTTGTCAAGGTCACGTGAAGGTCATCTTAAATTTCTTAAATGGAACCCTCTTTTCCATTTTTCATTTTTCATTATATATTCTTATAGCTTATCTCGAGGGCTTTCCAAAACATTATAACTGAATGTTTTTTCGTTAAGTATTTTGCAAGTTACAAGATTTAAAAGCTGCAGTACCGCCGGTATTAGCATTACCCAAAGTGTACTGCGTGGAGGTTACACGCCTGCGCGATTACGCCTTTCTTTTAAAATACAAAGTGAAAGGAATATTAAATATTTCGATTTTCGAATTCGAGCAACAGTTTCGAGCAACAGATAGCTAATGCAACAGCATTAGCTATCGTCATTTGCATTTCATTCAGTCATTATTTTTCAGCATTTTCTTTAGAAAAACTTTCAATTGATCCAAGTATTAATTTATTCGGTTTGACTAATTCTTCCGCTTGTCAATATGCTACGTCTTTCAGACCGAGAACGCATATCTCTTCTGATAATGAGAGAATGGGGTGATCCATTAAGGTCGTATAATGATCGTATAAAGCAGCTTTTTAACAAAACATTTCGTAATCAAAATACTGCCATTTCAAATCTATTGTTGAGAGAACAATAAAGCGTTTTGAGGAAACTGGTAGTGTGAAAAATCGTGCAATATCAGATAGACCTGCGTTAGCAATAAATCCAGAAAAAACATTAGATGTTTTATAATCCTTCATCGAAAATCCGCATGGTTCTACCCGCAAAGTAAGACAACAAAATGATCTAGATCAAATTCAATGTTTAAAATATTAAAACTTAATAAATTTCATCCTTATAAAGTCCACCTCGTGCAAGAGTTAAATGATGATGATTTTGATAGGTGCATTGAATTTTATGAGTAAGATGATGGAAAGAATAGATGAAGATCCTAACTATCTATCAAATATAATCTTTTCAGATGAAGCACCATTTCAGTTAAATGGCTGTGTTAATCGGCACAATTGCAGATTCTGGTCAAATATAAATCCTAACTGGATTCAAGAAGCACATACGCAGTATCCACAAAAATTGAATGTTTGTGCAGACATTTTGAATAATATTCTCATAGGTCCATTCTTTATTGAAGGCAATCTAATAGCGATAAAATATGAGAATATGCTAAGAAATGAAATAGTTCCAGCGATACAAGCAATCACGGGTGACGACTTCGAGAATACATGGTTTCAGCAAGGTGCTGCACCACATTACGGGAGGAACGTCTGTAATTATCTAAATACAGTATTTTCTCAGCAATGGATAGGCAGAAGAGGACCTGTAGAATGGCTTCCTCGATCGCTAGATTTGTCTTGACTTTCTGTGGGGCTATTTAAAAGACAGAGTTTATAAAACGAATCCATAAAATCTGGATGATTTACGAAATCGGATTCTTGATGAAGCTGCTATTATTCCTATTGATTACATTCAAAATATCATTTCATCTTTTTACGATAGGGTAGCTTTTTATCAAACTGTTGATGGTGGACATTTTGAATAATTGCTGTAAACCTTTCCAGTCTTGCCTTAGTTGGGTGAACAATCTTGCCTTAGTAGGCTGGACAATTGGCGATCTCGCCTTCGTAAACTAGACATTTTATCATAAAAAACTCGATAACTTCGAAATGACTTATTTAAAGTGGGTAAAGTGGGTAAGCTTTGAAAAGATTTGAAAAAGTGCTGGAAGAACTTATCTTGTAACTCGCAAAATATTTAACGAAACAGCAGTAAGTTATAGTGTTTTGGAAAGCTCATGAGATAAACTACAAGAATATATAATGAAAAATAGGGAGTTCTATTTAAGAAATTTAAGATGACCTTCACGTGACCTTGACAACGCTATTTAAGGTCACTGATATTGCTATAATAATAATAATAATAATAATAATGCGTTACTTGAAACTCTACAACTTTTATCTGAAACATTTTTTTCATAAAAATTATATTTTTCAATATATTTTGGGGTCTCGATATTTTTTCCTCATCCTGTATATTAGATTGATACGAAACATTTATTGTATTTATTAAATGTAATAAATATTTAAATTACGCAATTTTAAAACAATATTTTGAGGAAATAAACATTATTTAATTAAAAAAATATTATTAATTTTGTTTAATTAAACATTTATTTAGTGAAATAAATAAATAAAGTATATAAAATAAACAACATTGAATTGATATTTTTTTTAAACATCTAACAATTTTGTTCTGTTTTCTTTTTAACATTCAAAAATTAATAGCTTTTACGAATAAAAATTAACAGAAAGAATTTAATACATATATATGGAACAAGTCTAAATATTTCAGTTTCTGGCGTAAATCCTTATCACAACTTTTGGTGTTATAATCATACTAAATTAAAATACTCTTTTTCCTTTCTTACTGATATAAAATATAATCTTACGAAGTTTCATTATATTTTCAATTTTCGATTTCAAAATTACGTTGAAGTATGTGAATGAAAGTAAACTAAATGAAAAATGAAAAATGAAAGTAAAAGTATATAAAATATCTAACAGAACATACGTGAACAAAATAAAAAATACAATAAAAGATAAAACATGATGATAGTTATATTTATATTTATTTACAGATTGCGAAATGTTTATCATATTTCAGGTTAAAGTTGCTGTGAATACAACCACGAACATACGATGCACAACTGCATACTTTCAGCATATCAAATATTCCGATGGAGCTCTGACTTTTATTGTTATTCGACTTCACATTTTTGCGTCGAATTCATTTTGTCCTTGAGAATAAGTTGGTGCATGAGCTCCATTGCCTTCCTGGCACTTCATTACCACTTCGAATACTTTCCGATACGTTTCTTCTTCTCTTTCCTTCATTCGTTACAATCTCCTTTTGCGGATTCCAAGTTTTCCACGAGGTCACACGAGTGCGTCCGAAAATGTCGCGCCGCAACTATGCTTAATGCAGTCTGGATAATTTCAAGCCGAAACAATTCGGCCTTTTGAAACATTATTATTCGATTCATGATTATACAAATTCTCACCATATTTATTATACATTCCTTCGTTGTATTTGTCCTCGAGAATATATTTCATTCTAAACATACACTACAGTCGTGAATGATTCATTTCAGGAAAGTATCATGTATTATTTCCACAATTTTTATATTGATCATTCACATTCGATGATGCTTTTCCATTTAATTTCCTTATAAATTAGATTAATTAACTAATCTAATTAATTTAATATCTATTTACTTAATTAGATATAATCTAATTAAATAAATATTAAATTATATAGATTAATTGGTTAATCTAATATACAAGAAAGTTAATTATTTAATTAATTAATTCGGTAACTGATTTAAAAAATACTTAGATTCTTTTTACAATAACACGAAGATGAAGACGTAATTAAAGATGTAATTAGAGATCGTTGTTACATAAAACTAGAGAAAATTATTTTATTACGATTTTAAATAAACAGCACACACATTCGTTTTTACTTCCAATGAATGATAATTCTTATCTACTTAAATCCTCCTTCTGCTCATATTTTAATTATTATAGAATTCTGAGATAGGTAAATGTAAACATAAATAGAAAAAAAATTATTAGAATATCCTCAAAGTAGTATGTCATGCAAAATATAAAAATCTGAGAATTATTTTTAATACTTTCATTGCATCAATATAACAAATCATCAAATATAAAAATTATCAAAGATAAAAAGTAGATGATTAATTCAATGTAATATATTTAATCCATAAATTAAAAATTGCAAAATTGTGAAGTTTTCATAATTGATTTTGTTATATTCTAACAATCATAAATATCTACCTGAACTCAAAACAAGTGAAGTTTTATTTCTTTTCTCCATGAGAACTTTTATTATTGTTATATAATTAAGCACAAAAAGATAATCTATCGAAAATATTAATTTCGTCTATTACGGTTTTATGTATATAGCGAAAATTACAATTGCGTACTAATGATATGATAATTAAAATTATCGTTACGTATTAATGAGATACCATAAAAATAAAATCAAAATGTTCCTATACACACATACAAGTATATGTGCATATATACAGGGTGTATGAAAGCTTATCATACAGATGAAAGTTGGAAATAGATTGGGTGTAGCCCAGAAGAAAAGTCATGTACCATAATGTCAAATTGGCAATAGTTATCGAGTTATTAATTGAAATATGTCAGCCAATGAGCACGTAGAGAGCGCTGAGCGGCTGCGATAAGCACGTAGACATTTGGTATAAGCGGAGTCAACGAGCATAGATAGGCGAGCGCGCGCGGCGAGGGACAACCGTAAACGACAAGAGGCGAGCGCGCGCAACGAGGAGCGAGCGAGCGCGGACGAAGAGCGAGCGAGCGCAAGCGACAAGAGGCGGCCGCCCAGCGCTCTCTACGCGCTTATTGGCTCACATGTCTCAATTAATAATTCGATAACTATTGCCAATTTGACATTATGGTACATGACTTTTCTTCTCGGCTACACCCAATCTATCTCCAACTTTCATCTATATGATAAGCTTTCAAACACCCTGTATATAGGCGACATTATACAAGTTTTTCAAAAGTAACGGACTCCCTCGCTATCTCAGAATCTATGCATTATAGAGAAAAATAACTCGAACAAAAGTTTTAGGGTTCATAAAGTTTTGTTTTTTTGTGACCTCAAACTTGATCTTGATCTCGACTT